GTAGTGGGTGCAGCACACGCAAAGGTCCTGCCGCAGGAACATTTTTGGTGTGCTCGAGAGATGAGAAGACTGGGGCAGAATGATTGAGGGAAAGAGAAGAGGAAGGTGAGGTCAGAGAAGCAGCAGGGTCCAGGCGTGTAGGACTTTGTGGGCTCTGCAAGAACTTTGAATTTCTCTCCAAGTGAAACAGGAAGCCACGGGAGGGTTCTGAGTAGAGGAGATAGAATGCAGGGTGTGTTCAAAAGGTTCAGTCTCCCTTTTTACTGAGATCCTAGTATAGTGGGGAAGGGGTAGAGGTAGGAAGAGTGGCTTAAAAGCTATGGAAGCCATCCAGGTGAGAGGCAATGGTGGCATAGATGAGGACAGAAGCAAGAGAGGCAGTAGAAAGGGACCGGGTTCTGGGTATATTTTGAAGGAAGAGCCACCTCTGCTTTTCTAGAGAATTGGACATGGGGTGCAGGAAAGAGAAGAATCAACAGTGTCTCCAAGAAATTGAGAATCAGGCCGGGCTCGGTGGCTCAGCCTGTAATCCCACGCTTTGGGAGGCCGAGGTGAGTGGATTGCCTGAGCCCGCAGGTTCGAGACCCGCCTGAGCAACTTGGCGACCTCATCTCTACAATAAATCAAAAAATTAGCCAGGCATGGTAGCGTGCGCCTGTAGTTCCAGCTACTTGGAAGGCTGAGGCAGAAGGATCACCGGAGCCCAGCAGGTTGAGCTGCGGTGGCCGGGAGCGGCCACTGCACTCCAGTCTGGGCGACAGAGTGAGACTCCAACTAAAAAAAAAAAAAAAAGAAATTGAGAATCAGTTGCGGATTTCTGAGATGGGAAAGACTATGGGAGGAAGAAATATGTGTGTGTGTAAGACAGGAGGGGAGAGGGAAAAGAGAAAGAGAGAGAGAGAATGATATTAGTAATGAAAATATTTAAGAGTTAGAGATTTGGACACATTAAGTTTCAGAAGCCTACTACAGGCCAAGTGTGGTGGCTCATGCCTGTGATCCCAGCACTTTGGAAGGCTGAAGTGGAAGGAATGCTTCAGGTCAGGAGTTTGAGACCAACCTGGGCAACATAGCAAGACCCCAGTGCTAAAAAAAAAAGCCACGCTTTATGGTGTGCACCATAGTCCCAGCTACTCAAGAGGCTGAGGCAAGAGGATTGCCTGAGCCCAGAAGGTTGAGGCTGCAGTGTGCTATGATTGCACCATTGGACTCCAGTCTGGGTTACAGAGTGAGGCCCTGTCTCCAAAACAAAACAAACAAACAAAAAAGAAGCCTGCTACATAGCCATGTGGAGATGCTGAGTAGGTGGTTGTAAATATATAAATATAAGGATTTGGAGAACATCTGTGTGCAGATTGTACATAAAGCCATGATAATGAATGAGACTTCCAGGGAGAAAGAGACTTGTTTTTAACAGCTGCCTTGCATCCCACTGTATGAACAAGCCAACATCTGTTCAACATCCCTTTATTAGTGGATGTAGCTTACGTTTTTCAACCACAAATGTCAATGCTCTAAACATCTTTTTATTTACACAGATGTGGACTCTCTATAAGATCTCAACTGAATCAGTGGAAAATAGAAGGCAGAATTTGAACCCAGTTTCATCTGACTCAAGCACAACTCCCTACTCACCCTTCTCCCACCACTGGGGGTGGGGCAGTGAGTTTCTCTCTCATAGTAAATACAAAAGCCAACATTCTGCATTGCTCAGTTTTGTGGGAGATTAAATTAGTCCAGCCTAGAAATATTTGTTAATCAACAAAATTAGCCGGGCATGGTGGCACACACCTGTAGTCCCAACTACTCAGAAGGCTGAAGCGGGAGGGTCGCCTGAGCCCAGGAGGTCAAGGCTGCAGTGAGCCATGATTGTGCCACTGCACTCCAGACTGATAGATTGATTATCTATCAATTCTTAACAAATATTTATAGGGTGGACTGGATAAAGAAAATATGGTACATATACATGATGGAATATTGTGTAGCCATAAAGAAGAACAAAATCATGATTTTGCAGCAACTTGAATGCAGCTGGAGACCATCATACTAAGTGAACTATCACAGAAACAAAGAACTGAATACCACATGCTCTTACTCACAAGTGGGCCCTGATCACTGGTCACACTAGCCCAAGGGTGAGATCAGCAGTCACTGGACATTGCCAGGGGAGGGAGGGAGAGAGGAGGGAAGGGAGAACTTAGCAACATAAAGAGTGCCTGGCCCACTGGCAGGGAAAGAGAGGGTCAGTTAGAAGCCCAGACTTCACCTGCATGCAACCTACCTATGTAGTAAATTCCCACTTGTATCCCACACCTCTAAAACAAATTTTTTAAAAAGATTATATCTTCCAAGTATCATGTTGGTGCTGAGGATAATATTGAGGAGCTGATCAAACTTTTCTGATCTCATGAGCTGGTGACCTAAGGGATCATAGTAAATTGGCATGAGACTACAGTACCCAACTCATAGTGGATGTCCACCCACTTTCCAGGTTCTTTATCCACTTGGATAGCAGTAAGATCAGAGGCCAAGTGGGCATTTCATCAAGGGAATGAAAGAACCTGACTCCTATTCTTGCCCAAATTGACTTTGTTGCTGTGGGAGGGGAACATCTTAGCTCAAAGTGTAGGAGTTACTCAAGAATTACTACAAGACTAAAAATTATTTTAAAATCATGGACGACTCCTGAATTTATGGAACTATTTCACCAGGATTCCAAGGATGTGTGCCCCAGTGCATGGTTGGGTTGCAATCACCCTCCTGCTTCATAAAAACTATAAAGATGTTGAGATATTCGATTTGGAGAAACACCAGTCCTTCTGTAAAGAGTACCCACAAAACTCACTGTAGGAAGAAAATGGTGAAATGCTGACTGAAAAGAAATTGGAATCGAGAAACACCTACATTGGAAGCCTGGCTTTTACAAGTTGTGTGATCTTCGATGAGCCATGCATCTTTTTCTTTTCTTTTCTTTTTTGAGTTGAGGTCTCACTTTGTTGCCCAGGCTGGAGTACAGTGGCATGATCATGGCTCACTGCAGCCTTGACTTCCTGGGCACAGGCAACCCTCCCACCCCAGTCTCCCAAGTAGTTGGGATTACAGATGTGTGCCACCATGCCAGGCTAATTTTGTTTATTTTCTGTAGAGATGAGGTTTTGCTATCTTTCCTAGGTTGGTCTTGAATGCTGGGACTCAAGCAATTCTCTTGCCTTGGCCTCCCAAATTGCTGGGATTACAGGTACAAACCCAGCTGCCATTTATCTTTTGAGCCTCAGTTTTTCCTCTATCAAATGAAGAGGGGGTGATTATATCTGCCCTCATTCCACTTTGAGGGGCTATAACGACACAATGTGTCTAACACAATGTGTCTAACACAATGTGCCTGTGAGCTGCAATGGTACAATGTGAATGATACAATGTGTGAGAAAGGTAAAAAGAAACCTGAACGGTGGCATGTATTCTGCAAAGGGGAATTCTCTGGGTTTCCCAGGTTTGACTGAAATTGTTTCCCGCTTCGTGCTAACATGGGATATTTTTACTGTTTGAGTGATAGAAAAAGACTGAATTAGGACAAATGACATATAGTTTACTATTCTACTTAAACACGAAAACACCTATTGTTATCAAAATATAAATACCATGCAGTAGATTCAACCTTAAATCCCCACTCATTGAAAAATGGGGAGCATGTTGCCTGTGTGATTATGAGGTAAAGTTTGGTCCTAGACTGCGCTCATTGTCCTTGTTGAACAGAGTGTTCCCACTAGCCCATGTGCCATGTCACTCCCTGACACAGCAGTCTATATCTCACAGTGGGACATTTTTCCCTGAGCCAACCCAAGACATCTCTGTCACTCCACAAATATTCAAGATTCACACTTGAAATGCCAAGTTTCCTCGACTTTTTCTGGGGGTCTGTTTATTGCTGTTTCTAACTTCTATTGCACAGATCTGTGCAATGCTGAAATTTAGGGTGCTTTGCTCTCCTCTGCTGTGATCTGGGATAGTCTTGTCTGAGTTGTAGTTACCTGGTGTTGCCTAATAGTGGGGCATGAATTCTTATATTTCTCTTTGCATACCTAGTTTGTGCTATTGGAGTATTAGATCAACTTGGATTTTGACAGAACAGATTCCAGGTTTGGTGCTAACTGATGACAGAGTGTCCTGCAGCAAGTGGAAATAGTAAAATCTGATTTATATCTCTGTGTTAATATTGCACAGATCCTTCCACCCCAAGTACATTCTCTGATGTTGATAAACCTTGTGTATTCACTTGTGTGTTGTCCACAGTGTCCTTGTAAATCTTAAACCATCAGGCAAATAGAGATTACTACATGTTCATGGAATGTCTTTTTTTCCCCCTTTAATTTAGAGACAGGGTCTTTCTCTGTTGCCCAGGCTGGAGTGCAGTAATGGGGTCATAGCTCATTGTAGCCTGGAACTCCTGGGCTCAGACCATCCTCCTGCCTCAGCCCCTAGAGTAGCTGGGACTATAGACATGTGCCACCATGCCTGGCTAACTTAAATTTTTTTTAAAGAGATAGAGTCTAGACTGATCTTGAACTCCTGACTTCAAGTGATCCTCCCATCCCAGCCTCCCAAATGCTGGGGTTATAGGTATGTGCTTCTTCACCTGGCCGTAATGTCATTTTATTTTTATTTTTTGAGTTGGAGTCTCACTCTGTCACCCAGACTGGAGTGTAGTGGCCGCTCCCAGCCACCGCAGTCTCAACCTTCTGGGCTCTGGCGATCCTTCCACCTCAGCCTTCCAAGTAGCTGGAACTACAGGCATGCACTACCACACCCGGCTAGTTTTTCAATTTATTGTAGAGATGAGGTCTCGCCAAGTTGCTCAGGCAGGACTCGAACCTGTGGGCTCAGGCAATTCACTCACCTCAGCCTCCAAAGGCACAGGATTACAGGCTGAGCCACTAAGCCTGGCTGTAATGTCATTTTAAAAATAGCATTTGGTAATTCAATTTATTTGTTACCAATGAATTTCTCCCAGATCATTATATTTTTTCTGGACAGAGTTTGCTCAAGAAGGTTTTCTTCATGGCGCTCTTCAGTTCTTTATTCCGGAGGCTGAAGATGATGGGACTGAGGAAGGGTGTGAGGACTGTGTAGGTAATGCCCATCAGGGTGTCTCCTTCCAGAGACTGAGGACCCTTGGGCTTGAGGTAGATGACAGAGGCAAAGCCATAATGAACAACCACCACAGTGAGGTGAGAGGCACACGTGGAGAAGGCCTTATGCCGACCTTCTGCGGATGGGATCTTCAAGATGGCAGCCACGATTAATGCATAGGAAAGGAGGATGAGGAGACAACAACCCAGCAGGGCCGTGATACACACCAAGCCCACGCCCTTGGCCACCACCGGTACATCATCTCCACAGGCCAACTTCAACAGGGGTGGCACATGGCAAGCAAAATGGTGGATCTCATTGGGTCCACAGAAAGTGAGTTGGAAAATGGCCACAGTCACCACCAACCCCATGACCGACCCACCAGCCCAGGCCCAGCCCACCAGGCAGGCACAGCCTTGGGGGCTCATGAGCACGTTGTAGCGCAGGGGGTGGCAGATAGCCACGTAGCGGTCATAGCCCATGACAGTGAGCAGGAAGAAGTGAGTGAAGCCGAACGTGAAAGAGAAAAACATCTGGCTGGCACAGGCCAGGAGGGTGA